TCCCGCGGGAACCCGAAACCCGATTACGACCGGCCCGGTTAACCAAGAACCCGCGGGTTTTTGGTTAACCGGGCCGGTTTCGGTGGGTTCCGGGCTCCCCTGTTCCTGGGTTCCCAGTCGATCTCTTGATCGACTTTTTGATCGATCCTTTGTCAAACCATCCACTGATGGGGACTTCTCTCTGGTGTGATACCTGTTCCTGCGCGCGGAGAGTCAGGAGGGGGAAAAACATACAGACACAAGTAGCCGCCGATCCCCAGGGAGATGTGGGAAAGTATGGGAAATGGGGGGGGAAGACACAACCCCAGAACAGATCGGAAAAGATGAGGGGATTATGCTATCTGTATGTACTTATTTGTGTGTCCCAGGGCCCCTTCCCCTGGTGTGCTACGTCTCCCTGCGCGCGGAGAGGCGCGCGAAAAAGCGAGGGCCTCCGCCGCGCCGCGGCCCTGCGCTGCTCGCCCGAGCTGTCTACAGCGCGCCTGCTTCGCCCGCCCCCATGCGGCGGGCGCGCCGCTGGGCGCCCTGCCTCGGGGCCGATCGGCGCCGACGCAGTGCTAAGACATTCGCAGTGCTCCTCCTCCTCCTCGTCCTGCTTCTCCTCCTCCATCCTCCTCCTCCTCCTCCTCCTCCTCCTCCTCCTCCCTCCTCCTCCTCCACTCCTCCTCCTCCTCCTCCTCCTCCTCCTCCTCCTCCTCCTCCTCCTCCTCCTCCTCCTCCTCCCTCCTCCTCCTCCTCCTCCTCCTCCTCCCACCTCCTCCTCCTCCCCCCTCCTCCTCCCACCTCCTCCTCCTCCTCCTCCTCCTCCTCCTCCTCCTCCCTCCTCTCCTCTCCTCCTCCTCCTCCTCCTCCTCCTCCTCCTCCTCCTCCTCCTCCTCCTCCTCCTCCTCCTCCTTCTCCTCGGTCCTCAGCGAACACAGACGACCCCCGACGCCATGGTTTTTCACAACGTCGATCCCCAGAAGTGTCGACCCCACCCCCCTCCCCCTGAGCCTTCAGAGTTCTATATAGCAAGGTCCGGCGTGCCTGCGCAGGCGCCCGCGATGGCAGGGCGACGCCTGCACCCTGTCAGTCCACGTGCCGGAGGCGCCTGCGCTGGACCAGGGGCGGGTGCCTGCGCTGTTAAAGAATCCAGAGCCCCGAATCATCAGGGGTGACTCGGGCCAGGGCTAGCTCGGGCTCGTTTTTCGAGATTCCGAGCCCGAGTTGCCCCGGAACAGAGCTACCCCGGAGAATTCGGGCGTCCAGAGCCCCAAACCATCAGGGGCAACTCGGGTCAGGGCTAGCTCGGGTTCTCATTTGTCGGGGATCCAAGCCCGAGCTACCCCGGACCCGAGTTACCCTGGATAGTCACCCCGGGCGCCCAGAAGAATCGGTGCCCGCGGCGCTTGTGCTGACGACCCGACAGCGGGGGTGCTACTCGACGCGCTCGCAGGTGCCCGCGTCCGGCCTCGCGGTTGCGCCCCCGCGCGGGCAGGCCGGCTGCCCCCGCGGTGCCTGCGCTGGCGAGGCGACCGCGGTGCGTGCGCCGGGACGTGCGCGGCGCCTGCGCCGACGAGGCGCGTCCTCGGCGCGACGGCGCTGGTCCTGCGCGGAGCGGGCAGCAGTAAGTCGGGCCTGTCCCTCTACAGGGGGAAAGTACACAGAAAGAGTCAAACATAGTCCAGGGACTGTTTCTGTTGAGCATCTTTATGTTGTTTGACTATTATTTATGTTTCGTCGAAAATCACCCTGTAGGGGGACACGCCCGACTTGAGGGCAGCAGCCGCCTGGGTGCGGAAAGCATCGAAGCTCGCGCTCGCGAGGTCGACCGTGCGACGGCTCGCCCGCACGCCCACTTCGCCTCAGCACCAGGCCGCGGAGCCCGGGCAGGAAGTTGCGCTTTCTGTCTGTGGCCGACATTCGGTATCGGAATACGGAAATCCAGATTGGGCCAACACGGCCACCGATGGCATCGCCGTGGGTGTGAAGATGGCGGCGGTGGCGGCAGGGCAATTCTCGCGGCCTCGCGGCCTCGATCACGATCATGCACATAGCACCCCCATCGCGCGGACCCGTTCCCAGTAGGGTATCCCTGCTTCGTCTGGATTATACAATGCCATTGGACAGAACCCCTAATGTGGCGCATCCGCCTTCTCGCTCGCTCGCTCACGTACTTTGCTCCTCCCCCTCCTCTTTCGATGTGTCGGTTCTTCCTCCTCCTCCTCTTTCATGCCTTTTTTTCCATCATATCTCCTTAACAAAGAACAAGACGCATTCATATCCATACATATTCACGCATAGTCAGACCTGTTCGTGTTCACATTCGTAAGCAGCAGACTCGGACCCATTCAATGTCAGACTCAGTCGCGCAGATCACCAGCGCTCCGACTCGGTCACAGTCAGACCCACCCGTGTTCATAGACTCCACGACACGCAAGAAGTTCCCCCGTACTCTCAGATTTGGTCACGCGCAGGTTCTCTTTCATGCTCATGTTGGCTCGCATCCCGGACCATCCCTACGCAGAGTCTCAGACGCTCAGACATCCTCGCAGTCAGACTCACTCGCACGCAGGCCCACCCACACTCATACCCCCACTCACGTTCGGATTTGTTTCCTTCCCCTGGAGGTCCAATGTTCACCGCGATTCAGCAGGCGCGGCACTCAGGCGTCCCAAGGAGAAGCCGCGCGGGGCGTGGGACATTCCAGTTTCGCGTCCAGATTCTGGGGAAGTCTCAAGCGGCTTGACTTTTTGGCTGCCCAGACCGTTTTGCTTCCAACTCAGATTGCGAGGATGTGTCAGCCGGCATGGTGGCTGCAGCACCCCAATAGGGAACCGCCGAAGGGTGGTCGCAAGGCCTCCTTCGCGCTTAGATTGCAGGGATTTCTGAGGCGGTGTGCTTGCCCTGACCCCCTTGCTGTCGGAGCAGATTGTGAAGATGGTCCGGGCGATTGGTTTGTTTCACCACCCCCAAGAGGAGGAGAATGAGGAGGAGGAGGAGGAGGAGGAGGAGGAGGAGGAGGAGGAGGAGGAGGAGGAGGAAGAGGAGGAGGAGGGAGGGGGAGGGGGAGGGGGAGGGGGGAGGAGGAGGAGGAGGAGGACGGAGGAGGAGGAGGAAGGAGGAGGAGGAGGAGGTGGAGGAGGAGGTGGAGGAGGAGAGGAGGAGGAGGAGGAGGAGGAGCCGCCAGGGGTGGCTTCACGGCCCCGTGCGCTGCCAGATATTGCGGGGGTGGCCTCGAGCGAGGCGCTCGCTCTTTGCACTTCGGGCCGTGATTTTTCGACGTGGGGAAAGACGGACGGCCACCAGAGAAGAGCAGGGGAGGTCGGAGGAGCAAGTCGAAGAACGCGGGGAAAGGGACTCCTCCGTCCTCCTCCTCCGCCTTCCTCCTCCGCCTTCCTCCTCCGCCTTCCTCCTCCTCCCTCCCTCCTCAACCGCCCTCCTCCTCCTCCTCCTCCTCCTCCTCCTCCTCCTCCTCCTCCTCCTCCTCCTCCTCCTCCTCCTCCTCCTCCTCCTAGTGGATGAGGGAGGAGAAAGGAGAAGAGGGGTTATGTACGGCGAGGCGGGGGAGGATCGGAGAGGGGAGGGGGCCGCCAGAGGACGGGCGGTGGTGCTGCCAGGGCCGGAGGAGGGAGGACGGATCGAGGAGGGAAGGCGAGGAGGAGGAGGGAAGAGATCTAACAGGGCTAGGATCGGGATAAATCGCTCCAGAGCGTTCGGGGGCGCTCTCAGAGCGTTCCGGAACGCTCTGGAGCGGCCGCGGCGCCCAATACATCCTCCAAACCCGCCAATTCTCAGAGATTTCGAGTTATCCCGATCCGATGTTGTCCCGATCTTCGCGTCGTTTTAAGAGAGAGGACGCAGGAGGAGGGAGGAGAAGGACGGCCGCCAGGCAGAATGAGAGAGGACGGAGGAGGAGGGAGGCGGACCCAAGGGAAGGGGAGAGGGAGGGAGGGAGGAAGGGCAGGGAGCGGGCACGGCGAGAAGGAAGAGAGGGGAGAGGGGAGAGGCCTGCCCACCGCCTGTCTGTGAGTTGTTGTCGTCGTGGTCGCTGTCCCTCATCGTAGCCGCCGCCGCCGTCGTCGGCAACTTCGTCGTGTCCGTCGTCCACTCGGACCCATTTCCCACACCCATACACTCACAGCCTGATGCTCACGGCGGGACATGAGATGCACGTATGGGAATCTCCGCGTCGAGTGGTTCCGATGCAGGGTCCCCGGAATTCTGGATCCTTTCCCAAGGCTGGCTTTGCGGCGGCAGTTCGGGACGATCTGGGCGGCCCCCCTGGAACGCTCTCGGCGAGGCGCAGCCGCTGGAATGCACCCCGAGGCTGGAAAGCCGCCGAGAACCGACGAGCCGACGAGAATGCCTGAAGAAACCTGGGACCTGGACTTGTCCAAGACTTTCGAGGTCTGGGCTCGTCGTCGTCCTCTCTGCCGCCGTCGCCAGCGCCGAGGCCCGGTCGCCGCCAGTCGAGGAGCAGAAAACGGCGCAAACATAGATTTTCGAAGCTCCGCGCGGGTTTCTCGGATGGCGTTTCTGGAGCCCCCTTGGCAGTGCCTCTGGTGCCGCCCCTGGTGCTCTTCGGGCGCCAGGGAAGGGGGGGTCCAGCGCGACTCCCAGAAATCCGCGCAGACCGTCAAGAGTTTACGTTTCTGCCGCCTCCTCCTCCTCCCCCTCCTCCTCCTCCTCCTCCTCCCCTCCTCCTCCTCATCATCATCATCACCATCACCATCATCATCATTATCATCCTTCTCCCCCTCCCCCTTCCTCCTCCTCTTCCTCTCCTCCCCCCTCCTCCTCCCCCTCCTCCTCCTCCTCCCCTCCTCCTCCTCCTCCTCCTCCTCCTCCTCCTCCTCCTCCTCCTCCTCCTCCCCCTCCTCCTCCTCCTCCTCCCCCTCCTCCCCCCTCCTCCTCTCCTCCTCCTCCTCCTCCTCCTCCTCCTCCTCCTCCTCCTCCTCCTCCTCCTCCTCCTCCTCCTCCTCCTCCTCCTCCTCCTCCTCCTCCTCCTCCCCTGCCAGGACGGCGTGCAGCGCGTGCGGCCTGGCCTCGCTCCCGCCCGGGGCCCAGCGCCTGGGAGGGTCCTCGCCCAGCGCCGTGGAGGCTCTGGAGCGGCCGGCCGGCGGTCGGCGGAGCGCCTGGGCCCCTGCAAGGATCTGGACGCCCGAAATGGGTACTGAAAGAATGGGTATAATGCCCAACAACAACTCCTGTTCATTTTGAACAGGCCTCGCTGTCCACGCCGCCGCGGCCTGTGTCCATTCGAGACAGAGGGCCGCCTGCCCAACAGCGGCCGCTGTTGGTTTGGGACAACATTTGCTGTTGGGCATAGTACCCATTCTTTCGGTACCCATTTCGGGCGTCCAAAAAGGAGGGCGGCTTGCCTTGCAGTGGGGGCCCGTGCCAAGGAGCACCCTGCTCGCCTCTCCAGGGTGCCCTGGGCTTCTTGGACTTGGATCGTTCTGCGACGGAGAGCGTGAGACGCCGTCGCGCGCCAAAGCTCCAGGGGCGTCCTGGGGTCTCAGGGTTGGGTTTCTCGTGGAAGGTTTCTTGTGGTCGGGCCCCCACTGTAGATCTCGGTCGATTTGTCGGCGGCCAGCCGGGGGGGAAGTGAGAGGGGGCGGGCTTTCTCGGAAGCCTCAGGAGTTTCCCGAAGCTTCCGCGAAGCGACACGCTGTCCGCTCGCAAAGCACAAAGTCTCGCCAGGGCCGCCGCCGCGACACGCTAATCAAAATCTCGAGGGTGTCGGAGGCGACGACGAGGAGGAGGAGGAGGAGGAGGAGGAGGAGGAGGAGGAGGAGGAGGAGGAGGAAGAGGTGGAGGAGGAGGAGGATGAGGAGGTGGAGGAGGAGGAGGAGGAGAAGGTGGAGGAGGAGGCGGGAGGGCTGCATTCGCAGGATCTTCAACCACCAGGAACCAGGAACCAGGAAGAGGCGGAGGAGGAGGAGGAGGAGGCGGAGGGACAGCAGCAGGAAGAGGGGGAGAGCACGGGCGTGTAAGGGAGGAGGAGGAGGAGGAAGAAGAAGAAGAAGGAGGAAGGACGCAGCAGCCAAGATGCTGATGTGTGGCGGCCAACGTCCAAGAAGGAGGAAGGCGGAAGGCGGAGGCAAGGCGACCTGGGCCTGGGGGAGCGGGCGAGGCGAGGGAGGGGGAGGAGGAGCAGGAGGAGGAGCAGCAGCAGGAGGACGCGGAGGAAGGATCGGGTAGGCGAGGCGGGAGCCTCCTCCTCCTCCCCCTCCCCCTCCACAATCACTCAATATGAATACTACTCTCCTCCTTCCCCTGATGACGGGTTGGGAGTGTTCGCCCCCCCCCGCGTACTGTTTTTTTACACACAGGATTCCCCGGAGTTGGGTTTTCGCCTGCATTTGTTTCAAAATGCTGCTCTCGCTGAGGCGCCGGCCTCATTTTCGGGCCCCGCTCGTTCCGAATCGTGCTCCCGCTGCAGCGCTGGCCTCATTTCCGTGCTTCCGCTCGTTCCGAATCGTGCTCCCGCTGCAGCGATGGCCTCATTTCCGCGCTTCCGCCCGTTCCGAATCGTGCTCCCGCTGCAGCTCTGGCGTCATTTCCCGTGCCATGCCACGGCATGCAATGCAATGCTAGGTTGCGTTCTGCTGCGCGATGCCATGCCTTCAGCTGAAGCTGTGATATGCAGTGCTTAAGTACCACGTCGTGCTATGCCATGCTACGCTTTGATCTTCAACGCCATGCTATGCAATGTTATATTCGGGGCCGCTGTGCGATGCCATGCTTTGCGTTGCAAAGCTTTGTGATGCAATTCTTCACTGCGCCACGCCACGCCATGCTGTGACATACTACGCTTTGCGGTGCTCTTCTACGCCATGCCATGCCGTGCTCTACAATGCATCGCGTACCCTTTCGGGATCATTGCCCTGCTCGACATCCGACTGTGCGAGTAGAGAGGGGATCTACGCCATGGTAAGGGATGGGAGGGAGGGGTAGGATGTCAGATATGACGCGAGCGCACCTAGCTTGTCCTGCCCCCCCTCCTCCTCCTCCTCCTCCTCCCTCCTCCTCCTCCTCCTCCTCGTCCCTCCTCCTCCTCCTCCTCCTCCTCCTTCCTCCTCCTCCTCCTCCTCCTCCTCCTCCTCCTCCTCCTCCTCCTCCTCCTCCCCCTCCTCCTCAAAGAGGACCCAGACCCCCGACGTCATCATTTTTTCATGACGTCGACCCCCCGAGGTCTGGACCTTCTCCAAGGGACCGGTTTTTCCTCCCGCGTCGTTGTGTGACGGTCCCGGGGCCCAGCATGGGCGCCCAGGGGCCGGATCCGGCGCAAAGCCTCCCGTCGTGATCTTTTTTGCTTCGCTGCTCGAGGGGCTTCCTGGGGAGCAGGGGGGAGGGGCAGAGGAGGCAGGGCGGCGGGGGCGCGCGAGCCAGACGAGGCCCCCGCCCGAGGTCGGGGGGCTCCCTGCTGCTCGGCCCCGACGGCCGCCTCGCCGCCGCGGCGCCGGGCGCCGCGGAGCCGCAGACCTGGGCCAGCGAGGGGCCCGCCGTGAACGACGGCAGGCGGCGCCGCGGCGCGCAGACCCTCTCGGGCTGAGCCACAGAGCCAAGACGCTGAAGGAAGGACCAGTTTGGATTCGGAAGGGGCTCGATGTTCCTGACGTCCTTCCGTGGCTGTTCCTCCAGCCCTTCTCGTGCACCCAGGCTTTTCTGAAGCCGCGGGGGGGCTTCGTTCCTTGTTTAGCGTTCCTTATTTCGGCAGCCCGACTGCAAGGGGGTCCAGCGCCAAGGGGGGCGGTGCAACAGATTTCCCAGACATGATCGCGTCGTAGGAAATGCAGGGAGGCAGGTTTTTGGCGATGTTCGGCCTCAAAGGGGGCCCTCGCCCGGTCTCGGGACCGTCAAAAAACGGCTCAGGACGAAGAAACGGCCCCGGGGAACGGGTCGGGACTTCCAGGGGCGGTGCAATGTCGGAACATGGAGCATATACATTACCAGCGGCGGGCGGTTTTTCAATCCCGGGACTTTTTGGAGGGTCGGGGACGACGTCGGGGGGGTGTGGTGTATATTCTTGTTCCCCGTGTTCCCGGGGAAACCGCGAAGAATGTATACACCAGGCTCCCGTATGCGATACGCCTTCCTGTGCGAGATTCGGTGTGCGGCCAAACAAAGGCGCCGGTGTATAGAGTTCGGCTCCTTTGGTGCAATGCAGCCACGCGCAGAGGAGGGAGGGGGGAGGGGGGGAGGGCTTCTTCGAAGCGCCCCTGCTTCTTAGAAGCCGCGGGCCTTCACTGCAGATGTGAGGCCGGCGCCCTCTTAGGAACAGCCTCCTTCTAAGAAGCCCTTCCCCCTCCCTCCACCCCCTGGTGCTCGCCGCCAAGCAATCGATTTGTGGGGTTGCAAAACATCTGGGGCGTGCAAGACATTCCGGGGCGCAAGTGTGTTGCTGGACTTTGGCGTGCAATTCGTTAGTTGCAATGAAGTTCTCCAGCGCAATACATTTGCAATACAATTGCCCCGAATATATTGCACCCCCCCCCTTGCAGCTGGACCCCCTTTCGGGTCACCCAAAGCGGCGCGCAGACCATCGGCTACCGAGGTTTGCTCAGTCTCCAGAACCCCCTCGAAAATGGAAAAATCACGACGGGAGTTTCTTCACTGTTTTCGGCCCCTGGGCGCCCTTGCCGGGCATCGGGGCCGTCTGAAAACGACTCGGGATGGAAAAGCCGGTCCCGGGGAATGGGTTCAGACCTCGGGGGGTCGACGGAACGGAACGGACGGGAAGCCGGCTAGTGGATCCGCGAGGGAGCTCCGGGGGGGGGGGCCTAAGCCCACTCACTTGTTGATGTACCCTTTGTTGATGCACTCCTCGTTTAAGGTATCCCACACCAGTGATTTTGCCACCTGCACCCAACTTCCATGGCCAGTCGTTGTCTGCACATGTTGTCTGATATCGTCTGCCCATGATGTCGGGGTGTCGACGCAATGAAGAAATCATGACGTCGGGGGTCTGGGTCGCCGATCGGTAGCGACCGACCGACGCTCCGAAGCGGTCGCTACCGATCGCGACCCAGACCCCCGACGTCATGATTTCTTCATTGCGTGAGCAGCAAAGTGGACAACTCCAATTTTCCCAGAAACAAGTGCATAACATACAGTGCACCACGTACAGTGCAAAGCATAGGTTGCACCACATGGATGGCAAAGCATACATGGCATCACATAGTATGCAACACATACTGCTGTACGCCAGCTGCGCAGCCTAGATTGCGCATCTAAACTGCGCCATATAGTTTGCACAACATAGGTTGCACCGCATAGTTTGTGCCACATGGATTGCATAGTATATGCAGCACAACACATATGTATATATACTTATATAAATATATTCAACATTACATATTTCATATTTTCTATATACACCTATATATAGTGCACCTGGTAGAGTGCATTACGTAGATTGTACTAGTTCGACTGGGCCAAACTGATCGCACAACCAACACACACACACATCTATATATGTATATATATACACATACATACAAGCATACACACACACACTGTTAGGGAGCACGCCGACTAACATCTCTACGTGTTGTTCCCTCGTTGTCGCGTTTACTCTGCATCACGCTCCCAGGGCACTGCTCGCATTTGCTCCCAAGCTATCCGGCGCCACGGCGCAGTCGCTCAGGCCCTGGAGTGGCCGCGCCCCGGCGTGTATGCGAGCGTCCGCCCGCCCCCAGAGAAGGAGGAGGAGGAGGAGGAGGAAGAGGAGGAGGAGGAGGAGGAGGAGGAGGAGGAGGAGGAGGACGGGGAGGAGCCGCGCCCCGGCGCGTATGCGAGCGTCCGCCCGCCCCCAGCTCAGAAGGAGGAGGAGGAGGAGGAGGAGGAGGAGGAGGACGAGGAGGAGGAGGGGGAGGAGCCGCGCCCCGGCGCGTATGCGAGCGTCCGCCCGCCCCCAGCTCAGAAGGAGGAGGAGGAGGAGGAGGAGGAGGAGGAGGAGGAGGAGAAGGAGGAGGAGGAGCCGCGCCCCGGCGCGTATGCGAACGTCCGCCCGCCCCCCCGGCGTCAGATACCACTTCGTGGCCCACTCGCTCGGCAGTAGCCACGGCGAGCGCCTCTTCGTCGACGGCGCCCTCGTGGCGCAGCGCAGCGCGGCGGCCTCGAGCGCCGACGGCTGGGCGGCCGCGGCCTCCAAGGTGGGTGCGGGACAGGGATGACGGGCTTGTTTTCCACCACCACCACCACCACAAGTTGGAGGGGGAGGGGGTCCCTCGTCCTCACTCGTCGTCGTTCCTCTCTCACTCCTCCTCCTCCTCCTCCTCCTCCCCTCCTCCCCTCCAACTTATGGTGGTGGTGGTGGAAAACAAGCCCATCAAGGGAGCAGGCGGGCAGACTGGCAGAGCCGGGCAGGCAGACCGGCGCGGGCAGGCAGGGAGGAGGAGCCGGGGCCACGTTCGGTGAGGAGGAGACGAGGAGGAGGAGGAGGAGGAGGAGGAGGAGGAGGAGGAGGAGGAGGAGAAGGAGGGGAGGAGGAGGAGGAGGGGAGGAGGAGGAGGAG